TTTTGTCGTCCAATCTATTCACTTGATATTTGCTCGACCCATTTGAGTAGGTTTTCAATGTGTGTTCAAAAAACAAGAAGGCGCGTTGGACCCCTGCCCTTGCCTCTCACCAAGTAGTAGTGCAAAGGCTTACGTGGCCTTTCAAGTTGCGCTGGGTGGCACGAGGTAGGATATTGTTCATGGCTGTCGAGTGTCAAATTTGACATTGCAATAAGCTTCTTTGGAACAGCTGGCAATATGTCAATATGTTTTCATACCTCAACAATATCCTACCTAAAAAGAAGGTTTCATCACAGGATCTGTTCGACTGACGTGAGAAAGGAGGCACGCCTCCGGCTGCTGATTCAGTGGCCATGGGCGGGAGATTCCATGGGAGATGCCCCGGCTGCTCCGAAAACGATTCCCAAGTCAAACACTTATAGTTCGGTTCAATTATACATGAGAGATTCCACGGGCTTTGTCCTCAACCAGCGGGCATGCATGGGAGATCATGGGAGACAACTGTACCTTCTGTACCTTTTCTTGTTAAACCTGGCTGTCCCTAGATGCGCGCTGCAGGCGAGCTAGGAACCCAACATTGCCCAGCGCGCTTCTGTTCAGTCCGATTCTTCGACGACCGAATCCTTCTCGATGGTTTTCCTGAAACCCGATAGCTGAACTTATATATAGTGATCCCAAAAGCAACTCTACCATTTCTCGTGTGTAAGCATGTGTAAGCCACCCACCTTTGCTCTTTCTGTTTTCTGAAACAATCGAGAGAGACAGTAACATGTGTGTTGTAACATGTGTTTGTGATGCCTTTGTCCACCCAAAAGACACGCAAACAAAACCTAGCCATGTGTGGTAAGGCCCATCAATCTCCACACCAAGCGCTCGCAAAACAAAGAGCACATACTATATACCATGCGCACTCTAGTGTCTCACATGACCAATTGTTGGACCATGCTTGCTCACAAGTTTGGTCAGCTGTTGGGCAACGCTTGCTCACAACTTTGGTCAGCCACATTTCTCACAAGGACGGCATAGCGAAGGTCAATCTCACATTGCACACCCCAAACACCTGGATGCAAAGCAAACACCTGAAAAGCAGGAATTGGAAATGGGAGTGTCATGGAATGCCTAAAGGTTGTGAAGGCTGTCAAGGACCCTTGAAGAGTTGAAAGTGCGGCCTTGATTATGTCAGCTGTTCAGATTGGGTAACCAGGTAACCATATATATATATATAAATAGGTTCCTGTAGATTATTCAAAGGGTGGATGAGAGGTTTCTCGTGTTTTTCAATGATGCCATCCTCACATATTCTCACCCCACGAGGCTTTTCGCATGGTTGTTTCATTGTTGTTTCTTCAATGCCCCCTGGAACCACTCGAAAAGAGGGTGGGACCTTTGGCTCCCGTCGTGATGTCCATTGCCTTAGTCGAAAGGCTTCTGCTACTAATGCCCTTTCTGGACTCCGCATGTTACCCTCCCTCCGCGAGTAAAATCCGAGAGAATGCTCAAGACAGCCTTCAAGCAAATCAAGCACTTTGTCATCGATGAGTTCCATGGTCCGTCGCTGTAACCACAAGTGTGCCAAAAGGAACCTCACCAAGACGGAAAAGGCTCGACTCCGCAAGGTTCGAACCAACATGTCTGAGGCTTTCGACGCATGGATTCGCAGGAAGAACTTTGCCCTCAACTCCATGAATCTGACCAGCCATCGCTTGTGGGTGGAAGAGTCCATCAGGTTTTGGAATAACAACTTGAAGGAAATGCTGACCTACCAGACTCGACGCTCAACGGGAACTCGAAAATGACCGGCATCCACAAAGTAGCGTCGTCAAACAGATGGTCTCTGCTGAGCCTGCGCGAGGAAGAACATGAAAAGTCTGCAAACCTGGTCCAATGGGAATGCGGAGTGCCAAGGAAATCAAAACAAACACAAACAAGAAAACAAAAAAACAAGTCTGGCACAAACCATGGGAAGAGGGGGTCAAGCAAACAAAGTGCTGTGACTATTTTTTTTGTTTTCTTGGGGTTGACTTGGGGGGAAGGGGGAGCTTTAGCAGAATCAGTTTCTTTCATTTGCACAGAAAGAGCAGCAAGCATCAAAGAAAGCAATGAAAGAGACAACGTTCAACTGACAGAAGCCAAACACATAGAAGATCCCACAGTGTAAAAACGCGCCGCTGAGAGCGCTCCTTTCTGTTTTTGATATATATATATATATATTATACATATTAGTGCGTATTAATGTTGTTGGTGACCGTTGGTGAAAATCAGAAGCCCCAAGAACTCGACCACTTGAGCGGAGCGACTTGCTTGCTGAACTTGGAGCCTTCAGACGGGTATGACGGATTAATAGTGTTCTTTAAACAAAATCTGAGGCTCTCCAGAGATTAGAAGAGAACTCGCAATGCAACATGGACAAAGATGAGGGGGCAACAACTATTTACTCTAATAAAAAAGACAACTTAACTTAATTTGATATGTTTGGTATGAATGGGTGTCAACACCCGAAACTACGCGAGATAATGCCGCCCAAGGTCATGTTGGGATTTTGGGCTCCGACTGCAAGTTCAGACGTCCGTCCAAGACCCATAAAGACATGTTGGGATGGTTCAAGGGTTCCAGAGCCGCACAACTGACCAGCAGAATTCGCCGTACGAGCCTCCTCAGCAGTCCAGGCTTGCGCCCATGAGCCGGTGGCCGTTGGCCAGGCAGAGTGCCCTAGTTGGGGCTTGCGATGTGCGAAAACACCCAGCCACAATGACTTTTTTCGCGAAGGTTCGCAGTCATTGGTTTCATGTTCATAGTTGTTATCCAATGCTGACGCACTCGACCCATCGGTCGTCAAACATGGCAGTCTATGTCCACTCTGGAGTTTTCACCGCTGAGCTCGCAGGCCTTTCCAAGTGCAGCTTGACGGTCCACTGAGGGTGTCCCACTGGCGGATGGGCGATTCGGAGCTGAGCTTAATGTGCTACACAAGTGAAGGTGGGCCGATAGGTGCCCTAAGAGACTTCAAACAGTTCCACTAATTATGGAATACACATGGCAAATGTCGAGGTGTACCTTGAATCCCATCCATCCCAGCAATTTCCAGAAACAGGTGGCTTTGTTTTTTTTATGCGGCTGTGTGTTTCTCAATCTTATCGTGGAGTGAAAGCCGGTTGATGGTCGAGTACTGGATGTAGGATATAGAGCCGAACCCCTCTCCAGTCATCGCTTGAAGCTCCAAGTCCATCCTGGCAAGCCTGATGTGAGGCTGCAGGGGAGTTGCGAACAGTATGTTGACCACGAATTACATGACCATCACAGACGATGTTCGCGATGTTCTTTCCAGACTGAGAACTTGAACAGTCGGACGCTGGGGCTGGCAGGAAATTTGCTCAGCCTGGGACTTCGCCGGCGGTCGACCGCTCGATTTGGGGTCGCAACAGATGTGCAGCTGTGACGAGGGTGAATCACGGAGAGGGGCGGACAGATATACGACACTTCCACTGCATTAATGATGCAGCTAGCAATGCTGAGCCATCGTGAGGATCTCAGCCGACAGGGTTGCATCTTGAGCCAACTTGTGCTTGGGAAGCTCAAACTGAATCATTACTGTTTCTTTTTGGGGGGGGCTGTGGGCCAAAAGACTGTCAAGGTCCCGAATCAGCACACGGATTCTTTGAGCAGAGTGTGAACGGCCCCGCAGCCAGTTGGCCCATGACCAATCAATGCCCGGGGGGGTAATCATGCGTAAAAAGACTGTATAACAGAGGGACGTATCAGCCCACACTGTGGCAAGGCCTACCTACACTATACGACTTCCAGCTCATCAACCCCAACCAGTGTCTCCATGTGCAGCAGGCACTTAAATTACCCCGTTGGGTGTGTTGCCGTGGCAGGTGCTTCACTGAGGACGGTGTCAGCAAATGGATTCTGTGCCAGAATGGCTAGACAGACTTATCAAAAGGGAAATCCAAGAGCACAGGTTCATTGCGGCCCAAGCATTGCCCATACCACTGCTGGGCGTTTCTTTTGCTACACTTCGTCCCTGGCTGAGTGCAGGATCACTAAAAGCATCTTAAAGCTGTTTGGCCTGATGGGCTGGTTGTTCCGGAAGAGTTCCGGAAGTTTGCAAAACATGGAGATGCTACAATTACAATCATGTAGCAAGAGGAGATGACGGAAAAAGGGTGGGTTGACTCATTCCCCCGGCGCTGTGTGCGCCGCGGACGGGTGGTCCACCCCAGCTGCCACCTACCTGGTGACCTGTAGTACAGTACTACAGTGCTTTGGTTTGTCCCGGTCAGGTTTGTCCCTTTCAGTGCTTCTTCAGATTAGTATTCCCAGCTAGATGGATGGAAATGGGGTGAGCACGCCTGATCAGCGGAGCACGGTGGTGGAGCAACTTGCAGCTTATGTTCTCAATGTGTTTTTTGTTCACTGTTGTTTTTTTCCACATGGTGGAGGGTTGCTGCATAAGGAGAACACCATGAATCTTTTGGGAGTGGTGGAAGCCCTTGACGCTTAACACGCTTTTGGCCGCTTTTGGCCCCATGTGGCGACTGCGAGCCCTGTCATCACTCGGGATGGCTTGGTTGCTCGGCCGCAAGTGGGGCGTGGATTGAGAGGGTGGTCTATTCAAGCTCAGACACTTTCCGGCTTAATGATGGCGAGGGCATTTGGAGAATATAGGTGGGTGCCTGTGGGTGGTAGCAGTTGCATGTCGCATGTAGATCCCTGGGGTGTGTTTCTTGCCGAAGAACTGAGGGTACGGTTGTTCTGACACCTAGTGGTGCACTTGGCCTGGACACTGATTTGGAGGTAAATCTCAACACCTTGGCAAGTGCCTTGTCTCAATTCTCAATCTAGCTTTGCTACGCCTCTTAGCCATCATGGGTATAAGAAGAACTGCTCACAACTGCTCGCAGTTCCAACACCAGCAGTTCAACCTCACATTCTCCCACTTCTTTCATGAGTTGCAGCCGCTACCTACCCGGAACCCGGACGCCATGTATTCCGGTCCAAAGCTCTGTGGCTTCGGTAGACGCGGGTCCTCCGCTGGGCCGCGGCGAGTCTCCGCTGAGCCGCAGCGATGCCATGCAGGGCGACTCGTCCGTGGCGTGGTGCTCGTTGCGGAAGGCGGTGCTAACGACCCTGCTGTGCGTCACTGGCGCCTCGTTTTATGTGTCGCAACCCATTGAGGGAGTGACGAAGTATATAGTATAGCTCCTAATTAAATAGATGCCGTGACTGTTTTGATGTGGAAGATCTAAGTGATCTAAGATGTAGGCTTCTTGGGCACATGCCTGGTGATGGTTTGTTTATCAATGTTCCCCAAACAGGTTACTATTTGGGGTTCTCTCTTAGGAGAGAAAAGAGCTGACCACAGTGGCTGGCCGCGCCCCTGAACGCTGTCTTGTCCTCCTTTTGTCTTCCTGGTGCTTGTCTCTGGCCGCGTTGGCCAACCCTGACTGTCCTCCTTCTTGTCTTCCTGGTGCTTGCAGTCCTGCTGTTGTCCTTTGGCGCCGGCCGACCCTGTTGTCCTCCTGGGCCTCTGTGGCTAAGACCTATGCCTCGAACGTGAAGAGAATCGACCGATTCTGAAGTGTGATCATCTATATGAATGTCTGGCATAGTCATAGTATAGACCGCAAGTATGTAACCTCGTTTTCCTATCCTTCTTTTTTTTGGTGTGTGTGTGCTAAAGAATCTGATCCCACAGGTCATATATTGTTGCATGACCGTCCCCTGCCAGGCTTTGTCGTGGCCACTCGCTTCAGCACCGACCTGCGCAGTGCCGTGCGAAGTCGATCGGTGGGCACTGTGGGCACGGAGGAGCTCGCTGAAGCGGCGCGGGAGCAGGAGAATCCGGAGGAACAGCAGAATTGCCCATATGAGCTGAAGTTCTTGGGTCTCTCGGGCTTGTGCTGAAGCAATGAGTTTTAGGTTTTTTTTGGTGAGTCTTCTGTGCAATCGATTGGCCATCTCCTTCACTCCAGTGGCTACTATTGCTGTTCAGCCTCTGGATTTCGACCACAGGATGGCAAGAGCTTCAGCGAAAGAGTAGCTTCCGCCATGACTCATAGGGTTGCATAGGTTCCCGACATGATTTTGCCATGTTTGCTTCCCTCCCGCCGCTGGCATCAAGAGAATAGCCGGACTTCTCTAGTTCTTTTGCCGTAGGTGCAGTTAGCCACATAGTCAAGAGACGCTGGCCTGGCCTTGGGCCGGCTTGGGGAGCTTCACTTCACTCTGTAGAGTTCCACACTCCTTCAGCCTCTTTCAGCCTCGACCGACCAACCGCAGGAATGTCCTATGACTTGGCTCAAGGCATGCCGCAACCCTGGCAGAGTAAGAACTCGCACGGTGAGACAGGAGACGTTGAGTGAGCAGTGAGCGCGCCCCAGTAAGAACTCGCGCGAGGTCGAAGAAAATGAAGGTCGGTAGTTGGAGCCCCCTGAGTTAGCAAAGGTTGAAGCGTTCAGCTTGATACCAAACGTAAGTCGACGTAAGTCGTTGGTCAAGCTTCGAAAGGGGCAGTTGGGCCCAAGCCATGTAGACCAGAAAAAGTCTTGATACTTCAAGCTTGCCATGATTTCTCTCTAGCCGATGCTTTTTGGCAGGGCTCAGTGTGCCTGGTGCAAAGGCTGTTCCCTGCTGTCAATTTGTGCATCCTCCCAGCATCAGGCGACCCATATTCCATCACGTCCCGAGATCCTTAAGGAGAGACTGCAGCAAGACAAAACCTCATCTCCAGACCTCAACCGAGCCCTGTGGCAGGATCCCCCAACCCCGCAGCAAAGCCGAGCGTGTTTATGGGTGTTCCTGTCTGTTTAAACATCAAATGTGTTAGTGTCATCTCTTAGTAGCAAGAAGCTAGGTTGGAGGCCATCGCTACTAGGGTGGAGGCCATCACTACGAGCAAGAAGCTACGAACGGAGCTTGGTGTTTTAAAGGAAGCGTTCTTCCCTCCTCACTGGGGCCAGGAGACCCTGGCTGGAAGCATTTGCCCGTCTTTGAGACGAAAGACGAGACGAAAGACGAGACGGACTGCCCACGTGGCGCCAAGATCACACCTCAAGAGGACGGAGCCTGGAAACATCTTGCATGCTTGAAATGCGATGGATCAGCCCTCACTAGTAGGCTATAGTAGGGTGTGTCCCAGTCAAGCAGCATCTCTTTTTTGGAGAAAGGCCGGCAACCGAACCGTAATCCATGCTGCACTGGATGTACCCACGCAGTCACTCATTCTTGTTTAGAAGAGCCTTCAGCCTTTGTGAACAAGACCGATGGATTCTGCACGCAGTGTGCCATTCGGAATCGCACATTTCCTTCAACTAAGAGGCCTGGTCACCGGTCACCAGGTTTCTGTTTGAGCAGGCGGCTGCTCCGAAGCTGAAGGCTCCAATTTGCTGAGTGTCTTTTTTCTGCTTCCTGACTGCCAACCCTCCCAACAACTTGGTTGAAATCTATATATATAATATATTCAATCAAATTCAATCTCAATTGTTTTGATATTTTTTGATGTGTTCATTTTCCAACGACAGCGTCCATGCACTGCAAAACGACCTCAGGGAAAACCAGTGAAAACCGCTTCCCGATGCTTCCCGGGCAACCCGTGCTCTGGAAGCGGGTTGGACCGTGGAGGAGGACTGTTCCTATGAGAGCCGCGTCTGGGAGATCTCCAGCGGCATGGATTTTCAGAGCTCTTTGAAAGAGATCATGCGTTCCTCCAGCGAAACTGGTGCTGAGCTGGCGCCTGAGGCGATGCGATCGCCTGAGCGATGAGAGGGGGGGGAGGAAGTGTTTTGGGCGCCCCATGGCGCCCCAAAACACTTAAAGGCCGTAGAAGGTGTGAAGATGTGAATTCCACCGCTTTGAAAGGACTGCAGTTCTCCTCCCTTCCGGAATGATTTCACTGTGTGTGACTCGGTGTGACTAGGAAGTACTTAGTCTCCTGATATTCTTGATACACTCCTTGACAATATAGTCATGGATACGTGGATGCCACGGCCCCCGAGTTCGGATGAGCATGATTAAACAAAAAAGAACACAGGTCCTTTGTCCACTTCCATGATTGTTTCTAAGGAGTGTAGACATTCGATTCACTAACACATGATAACATGCGGTCTAGCTAAAATTATATAATTCACATTACATTGATCATGATATATATAATATATATATATAACCCAGACGCTCCATGTATGCCATATATGCCTACATTGGGTTGTTTGGGGGGTCAATGTAGGCATATATTCCATACATGGAGTGTATGAGTAATATATTATACCCCATTCACGTCCGATTCAACATGATTCAACGGATCAATCGACCTAAATCGAACTCCTTCCCCTGTCCTTTTCACGCGAAGTGGTGGTTTCGGAGATGTGTAGTATGTCCAACCGTTATTATCCAGAATCTTGAGATGATTTACCCCACTGACCCATTTGGTTTCTGAGTTGAAGCCACCAAGGGGCGCAGTGTTTGGACCCCCAGATCCGGTCGACGGCATCGATCTGTGCCGCAGCCGCGAGGCCTTCTTCACGCAGAGCTCCGAGTTCCGCTTCCTCCAAAACGGCTCCCGCTCCGCGGCCGTAGCACTGTGGCCGGGGTGTGGGGGCAGGAATATGGTTTTGGTATGTGTTGGTTTGGTTTGCTTTTTTTTGTTTGATTATGTCTAAGTCTATGTCATTCTATATATGTCTTTGTTTAACTTAATTTGCCCGTTGTTGAGCCTGTTCGAGTTGAGCCTGGTTGGGGACACTGTTTACGTCTTGATTGGACGGAGCCGGATGTAGCCGGATGGTCTGCCAATGTCTGCCGTGCTGTGGTTGTACCCAGGAACGCACACCTACACCTTGACCACCGCGGCATGTGGCATTTATGGCGCCGAGCTGGATGTAGAGGCTCTTCAACTGTCTGGTGCATTTCTGGCCGCCGTGGAGGCCTTGCCTTACCCAGTGACTGCAGAGAATGAGAAAGACTACGAGAAATTTCTTGGCACTTGGGGCACACACTATAGTGTCAAAGTCACCATGGGAGCACGCATCAGCAGGCTCTTGCAGTTTGACAAGGGTGAAGGGCGACTTGGTGGTGTTCTATATTTGGTTCTCCCGTCACGTTTGTTGAGGCCCCCAGCTTCAGCATTTGAAAGCCAAAGCCCAGTCAAGTTCCTTGTTGCTGGACAATGACGCTGCCCCTCAAGAGGCCACCTGCTCGGCAAACAACTTGCGATTTATAACCGTCCGACTTAAACGTTCAAGCGTGTTCAAACTGTTATTTGTGGGGTTTTGACTTGCACGACCAGCACAGTTGCACTACAGAGCCCTGCCTCAGTTACAGCCTTGTTGAGTCAACGACCTGCATGTAACAGCTTTGTTTTGTCCAAATCCTTCAGCCCAGTTTGGCGGCTCCCTTCGATGCTCAGAGCATGGCCCAAGCAGACTTCCAGAAGGTGCTCGACGCTGCAGTGGATCCTTCAGGGGCGAAGGTGCTGCACGTGGTGGTGTTTGTCCTGGTAGGAACGTCATCGGTTCGAGCCATTTCATGACATGCGAACAGTGTAGGGTCATGTAGGGTCGTTTGTTACTGTTTTGAGTCACCCGCAAGAAGATGACCAGATTACAGGACATGGGAAACCAGAGTGGAGATTGGCCTGATATCTTCTCCCGATGTCTTCAGGCCGTCCATGAGATGTGCTACTGCTAAGGGTTGCGGGAAGACCTATTGTTCATCAGTGTTTAGGAGCATCTAGATGCATTCTATATTGTCTAGTCTATATTTACACACGTATATATATATATATATTGCGCCATATATATAATACAGTACATTTATATATAACTATAACTGTAACTGGAGTAGTAACTGGAGTCCAGCTACCATTGTTTTAATGACCAGTCATTTCACTCAATGACCTGATGTCGGTTTGCGACAGGCATTTCACCTCCGGACCCCCGGGCCATTCTACTCAGCCTTGGATCCATACCACACATTGTACACTGGCAAGCTCACCCCCAAAAAGCCGTTGTTGAATGTAGGCTGGAAGCTGTTGAAGCCTCAATTCAGAACCAAGAGCCCGCAACCTACACTTTCAATTGCATGAGTTGCGAAAGCCTGTTGAACCTGGCCTCAGTTTGGTGATTGTGGAACGCCCGGTCCAATACAACCATAATTTATTTACATCATTGCATGTCACATGAAGTCCTCATCCAACATTTAAATCATAATCCATAAATAGAAGCTCCAGAATGATCACAGGCCAGCCAATGTTTCGATACCCTAGAAACATCAAGAAACTGTCATGTCAAGTAACTCGTTCTGTGAGCGCATATGGCTGCCATCCCCTTGGCTCATCGCAATGCACAGGTCAACTACTGTAGATGGCCAGATTCCATCCAACAGACATTCTGAGACATATATATATATAACCTCTCACCATCTTACACCCTATGCCCTCAGGCGGATGGTGCCCCATTGACTGCATTCAACATTTGTTTGGGCGCTGATGGCAGTAGCTGCTTACCACGGGGCCTCAGCGCGCAGCGCTGGCGCGCGGAGGCTGCCTTACGGCCGGTGCCTGTGGAGGCAGAGCTGAGCTCGATCCTGAATTTGCTCAACGAAGCTTGGTGGGAAGAGCGCAAAAGCCGAAAAAAGGAACACAAAGATGGGGTGGTGGGAATGATGTGAAAAGATGTCACACGCACATTCTTTGTTGTTTTTTGCACAATAGAGTTTGGAGATATTTTGGCCTGCAGACGGCCTGGTGATGTTTTCTTGTAACGACCAGGCTCGCTCTTCAAATCTCTTCAATTAAGGAAGTTCACAAGAATCCAACGTAATTAGGTAGTACCAGATGTCAGGTAGTACCACGTTTCAGGGAGCTAGACCCAGAAAGCTTGGGAAGGTTGCTTTACAAACCCAGAGTCGGCCTCCAAGCCTCCTTTCACAAGCCTAAAAGGAGCAGTTCTTTGAGAGGGATGCCCACATCACCGAGAAGCAGCAACAATTGGAGGTCATCATGGGCCGGCTAACAAGCAGATGATAGCGGCATATGGCGGCAAAGCTCGCCCTGTTGGCTTGCTTCCAGGGCACCTGCCATGCGACACCTGCAACTTGCCCTTGGAGATGAGAAGATTGCACGCTGATGCCATCAGCACGGGACACCTAGCACACCTAGACTGGTTCATTCAGGCGTTGCGCAAGTGCAAAAAGCAGTTAGTCTTGGAGCTTGGCCGTGTGCCGGACGAAGTCGTGTGGCAATGCAAGTGGGTTGATGAATGAGCCCTAGCAATTCTTGAGAAGCATCACCACCACCCCTACCAGCTGGAACCTCAATCAATCATTTCAAAACCACCAGATCACATCAGGTCTTGTCCTGTTGCAACGGAAATCCGGATGCCTTGCTGCTAGGGGAGCTGCGTCTCAAAAAGAGATTGTACAAACGAGTCATGCTATGTAATACTCCAGATGCTCACAAGCAGAGTTTGGGGGAAGTATACTAGGTGCAGAACAGATGGCACCACATCCCCAGAAAGAAATGATTGCATATTGTATATATTATATATATAGATATCTTTAATTTATGGGCCCCAAACAACCCAAATACTTTTGTAAGGCTCCCAGTCCCAGATTTTGCTACAACTCCAAGGGGAAATTGGACCAGCACGTCGTGCCTTCTATTCAGGCTTGGAAGACCAGCCCTGGCAGAGGTCCAGCCGGCCAAACCCATGAGTTTCAAGATCAACGAGCTCACTGAGGAGGTGAGTTCCTACCGCACGAGCTTGTGAGTTAGTTAGTCATTTGAGTTAGTTGTCAAGAGCTGCAAGTTGACGCTTCAGAAGAGGTAAGACTCTATGCTTTGGACCTTGGACGACCCTGATGATCCCTGATGCGTTGGCCTCACACACACACACACAAAGGCCCACAGGCTGGCTGTAGGTCGGTTGAGGTCCGATAGTCATCGGTTCGTTGGGGCGGGCAAGTGTGTACCAAGATATGTCAAGTACATTCAAGTACTGTAACTGTATCAGCCTTTGAAGTTACCTACCGGACTCGCTTCCATTGAGTTGAATGGAGTTATGAGTTGAGTGTGGCTCAGGGCATTTCACCGGGCTTGTGGAGATGTTGGGACCGAACCTCGCCTCAGGAAACCATGTCCGAAGTGCGACCCTGCTGCACGGGGCATGGCCGGGCATGGTCTTTGTGGGTGGGCAGGCTTGGGACATTGGTGCCAAGAGTCCAATTTGTTGGAGTTGAAAGGTCAATACTTACAGTCTTCTTGCAGTAACTAGCTCAGCAACTCAGTAGAGGAATAATAGCCTTGATTCCGAACTCTTGTACCAATAGTACTTTTCCATTTGGAGCAGGAACAAGCCCAGGTTCTCGCTTGCTGGTTCACTCAGGATGCCCCAACAATTTCGCTGCCTCGCCTGTAAGGCAGTGCCTTGGATATATGACATGAAAGCGTTTCTTCCGGATGATGGATACGTATGTAAATCTAAGGAAGAGGATGATGTGCGTGTAAGCATGTTATTTGACATGGCACTGTGCTAACATACCTTTACGGGTGGATGTTGATGTTGGATACCCGTGGAATTGAGTGGGATGCACGGCCTGACCATTCCCACACCCGAACTGGATCGTACAGGGCACAGTGCGAGAGGACTTGGAAGATGATCTTGTCCGATTACATACTGATTATGTAAGATTATGTTTCAATTTGACGTCATGATTCTGTTTGCCAGTGAGTTGAACTCACAGAAATATATATATATACACATAGACACATGCAACCGCTCACTGCTCGACAAGAGTTGCTTCATTGTGTTTCATTCATTTGTTGGTGTGTGTGTGTGAGAGTACTGTAAGTAATTCATACAATGCCAGCTACAGACAATAGTCGCTGGAGCACGCAAGAGCAAAACAAGTGTGTGTGTGTGTGTGTGCGTGCGTGCGCCGGGTTCTGCTCACAATGTTACGTATGAGAAACACCCCTGACTCCAGTTGCACGCTTTTGTCTCAGGTGATCTATCAGCTCGAGGGACAGCTGGAGCTTGGACGGCATTCGGAAAGTGGACAGCCGGGCGAAATCGCTCGGTGGCTTCAGTTTGGCTGAACACTGTTTCTCCGTTTGGCTGAACACCCGGCGGGGAATCCAGGACTGTTTGGCCAGGTGGCGATGTGAAGCTGCCCGCTCCGCGGGTGGATGTGTGGTTTTTCAGCGGTTAAGACGACGCTCCCTGAAAGAATCACGGTAACGTGGATTGCATGACTCCGATTTCAGATGACCATGTTCCTTTGGCAAACAGGTGCTTTTCTACTTCCATGCTTATTGATTATTTCTAAGGAGTGTAGATCTACCCCGGTTCACATCCGATTTGTACATGATTCAACGGATCAACCGACCTGATAACATGATTAAGTATCAACATATGTTAACATCCGACCCTGATGTTAACCTGAATCGTATAGTCAACGGAGTCAACGGACAACAGTTAAGTCAAATCTCCTTTGGTGGATGTGCACCGAGGAGCGCTTGCAGCCGAAGGATCCCAAGAGCCTGGAGAAATCGGTGCGGAGGCCGAGAGGATCCGAGAGGACATCAACATGTGAGGTTTCATGTGTTTGTTTGATCTGATTGGACTGGGGGTCATAGGCGGCCAAGCGGCCCACCTGTTTCGACCGGGATGCTGCGAGGAAATATTCCGAGCCTTGCAAAACGTTGGGTACGCTCCTCTCAAAGCGATGTTCTTTTTGGTGAATCCCACTTGCAGATCCCATGGTCAATGCGGTGGTCGTCAGGCACAACTTTGAGCTGTCACGATGCTGCACTTCGTTTGGGCAGACATCCACAACCAGCTAAGTACTGGATGCACCTCAAAATCCCAGTTTGCAGATGTAGATGCAGACTGCAAACTGCCGGGCGAGACCGTGGTTAAACAGCCGTGGGTGGCAGTGGCAAGACTGCAGGCAAGATGGCTTTGGAAGACTACATTCATCCATGGCCCTTATATGTCCATGTATGTCCATATTATACATATTAATATATATTATATATATACTGTATATATATGATGGTGTTAGGTTGACTGGCCTTTTGCGCATCGTTGGGGTCGACTTGGAGGGGACCAAGGCCCTTCAGTCTCAAGCCATTCGCTTGTCAGAGATCTTGGATGAAGCAGCTGAGTTGCAGACCGGGCTGACCGGGTGACTGGTGGTTGGAGGGACGTGCAGGCAAGTGAGGCACGGTGAGGCACGGCACAAGCTGACAGAACAAACCTGTAGAGGATGCCACCCCTTCATGATTCAAAGGGACGGACTGGCACCCCAAGGTGGAGTGTATTTTGGACATGGATAATCGGCCATCCCAAGAATTGTGGACATACAGTTCTTTGCTCCATCAACCTAATGGTAGCTTCTGTGTAATGAATACATTGCCAGTGGCCAGCCGAAACAAACCAAACATGCATATGTCATGTCTCAGCCAGGAACATGCACCCAGTTTTGACCCTGTTTCCCCAGCACAAGCAGAACGTTCTGGTATACAATGGCGTTGGGGTCCTGATGCAAGCACATTTGGAGTAGCTTGCTGAGTTCGTTTCTTTTTTCGTTGTTTGAGTTCGCCCATGGTGGGACATCAGCATCGGCGAGGCCTGTAGCTCGACAACGTACAAAGACTACGGACACTTGGCCGGGCTGAGAGTGGCTAGTCAGCTTCCACCAGAAGCAGCTTACCTAGGTTAGACATGGGTGGGAATACAGTAAGCTCCTGAACCTTCATTTGTAGATGTTTTTTTTGTGAACCTAGGGTTTGAGCACTGTTTGGACTTTTGTATACTTTTGTAATGAAGTGTTTTTTGTTCTCCTGAGCCGATTGGAATTTGCACCAGCGGAACCCGCGTGGTCGGTCCGCACGTCGGTTTCAGCCCATCACTCCCAGTCCAGGTTTTGGAACGATCGGCTCAAAAGCCTTCGTGCTGATGCTTAGAGTGAGGCTACACAAGGTTTAGAGTGGTGCTTTGGTAGAGTGAAGGGTGCATAGCGCTGTGGTAATATTGTTTATGTTTGGATTTCACAGCGGACGTCCTGGTGAAGTCTGTCAGCGGCCGAGAGAGGGACGGGCGAGGGGATCCCCAAGTCTTTTTCTCAAATGGATTCATGAGGATCCATGGATCCATTTTCGCAGGACCAATCACAGTCTCCCTGCGATTCGACGTCGGGGTGTAGCGGCTACGCTGCAGCGTGGTCCCTGAGGAGTCAAAGAACTCATGGGCGGTGGAGGCCTTCAGCTGCATGGGGCCCATGGGGCCATGGGCGATGAAGTCAATGGTTCTGTTGATATGTGCCAGCACTATCCAAAGGGAGGTTATTGGATCCAAATTCATCTTCAGGAGGGTCTATAAACCATAAAATCATTATATATATAAACCACCCTGGGGTGGTGCTGGTGTTGATATGTTGTTTTGTTGTGTGAAGGTATGTTGTAGCAAATGTTGTCTCTCCAAAGCCGTGGCCCCATTTGCCATTGCCTAGTAAGGACTGACTGCCAGGCAATGGAACCCTTCCAGAGTGACATTTGGCGATTCTTGAGGATTCTTTTCAGCCACAGTCCTAGAGTTGGACAAAGTCTTGCACTACCGGTGCCATTTGTTGGCTCCAGGGGCCATCATCTACCGCGAAATCTGCGATTGAGCAATCACCAAATCTTTCAGAATCGCCACTGACTATAAGAAGGGTACCCTCACTGACGCATTCCCAACATACGAGTCCATAGGAGTGAGCGGCATACGAGTCCCGCGGCGCCAAGTGAGCCAGACTGGTATGGAGAGCTGGGGCGTGCTTGTGGTGGGTGTGAGCGGAGACGAATTCCATGTCCAAGTGCCCAAGTCTCTCACCGGCCTTGGGACCAACTTCTGTGGAAAGCGGGGGCAAGAGTCAAGCGGATGAAAGCACCTGAGAAGCATCTATGATTGAAGACTGGCCCGGGGTCATATACCAATGAGGCTGCTGAGTTGCAGGAGGCTTGGACATGCATCCAGGTTCGCCTCTCGGAGATGCGCCGATTGCTCTCTCAAAGGAATGCTGCACTCCTGCAACAAGGGCTGAGCAAACTCAGCTGAGGAGTCCTTTTTTATTGAGAGCCTTGCCTTCCGATACTATCTCAACATATCTCAACCACAGTCTGCAGGGAGTTGTTTGGGTCCCAG